CCTGTCCCAACCTTTACTCTTGAGTCTGTGCAGAATACTCCCAATGTCACAGTCCTACTGTCTCTCCTCTCAGTTGCAACACCTAGGTGTTGTACTCCAGGGGGCCTTCTCTGAACCTGAAGACTGGCCAGCTCGGTAGCCACTCTGTTCAACTGGGAGCCCTTGATTCCCCCCTGTCCCCTACTTCCAGCAGGGGCCCAGGTAGAGAGGCTATCCAGTGAGTAACTGAAGCAGCGGAGTGAACACAGTTGACACTTCTGTAACAGATAAGAAAATGGAAGTAGCCTGCCCAGGGCCACTCAGCAAAGACTTTGGATCCTGTGTTTTCTCTTATAGAGCTTCAAGCAGGCATCTCAGCCAGAAAGGCATCCTCAACACCTCCAGCTACTGCTTACCATTCCCCTTTTCCGTGCACCTTTTCCACAGCACAGACTGTGAACTCCCTAGACACCTTTCTGGGACTCTGTTCCCCAAGACAGCTCTAGAAGCCCCTTCTTCCAGGTGACTTAGGGTCAGGTCAGGCTAGAGCCAAGGCAGGAATCCTCAGAGCTCCCCCTGGATGCAGAGCACTCACCTAGGGGCCTCTCGGCTGGGATGGACCCTCCAAGGCCTTAGCTGACCATCCTTATCCTTCCCCTGGCCTAAGGTGAGGACCGCATCTACAAACCACCTGTCCAGCCTAAGGTTAGGACCACCTCTACAAACCACCTGTCCAGAGACATCCTGCAGAGATGAGCATCCTGCAGAGAGACCCTGCAGAGATGAGTGAACTGATCCTACAGAGCCAAAGGCCAAGCCAGGACCCAGAGCTCCACAGCTTCAGATCCTAAAACCCTATCAGCTCCCACCCTTGCCACCACAAATAAGAAAACAGACCCAGAAAGGTGAAATGACCCCTCAGATCACATAGTGAGGAATGGACTTTTACCCAGTTGGGTCTCCTCCAAGGTGTCCTCTCACAATGACACAGCACTGAGACCCAAGGACAGAGGGCGACATGGGGTTCTGGAGACAAAAAGGCCCAACAGGACTGAGAGCTGGGCCAAAGGGCAGAGAGAAGGCAGCTTTGTGTGTGCATTGGGGGAGCCAGGGGCAAGGACCTAGGTTCTGATCCAGTTTCAGCCACTTTATTTGGTCTTGCACAGTGAACTCCTGCTCTGAGCCTCCATTTTTCCACATCTGCCCCATCGGATTGATGAGTACAACCCTACCAGACAATGGCAGACTCACTAAGACAAAAAATAGGCAGTAGCCCTGGCCTTATGCACCCAACCCCTTGTCTTTCCCAGGACAGCTTTGAGTGTCAGACTCTTAAGGGTAAAAAGGTCCTCAGAGATCCCCGAGTGAGCCCACATGTCACAGGACAATGCAGTGCTCATGAGATAGGGACCTTTGGATACTGTCTTAAGAGACTCTTCCCTTAGGTGCTTGTGGCTTGGGACAGAGGGACAGTGAGCCAGGGCCAGGAAGGGATAATGAGAGCTTCCTCCAAAGGAGAGGGAAGGACTACAGGAACGGAAGTCAGCAGACAGGTCCCCATTACCCAGTTTCCTGCAACAAGAGACTCTCGGACATACATCCTCAAGAACTCTCTCACCCCTGCTCTAACTCCGAGCCCCCAGAGCCTCTGACATCAGTCTGCTCTATCACAGGTAATGGTTCCTATTAGGCTCACCCTGCCTCTGTGCTTGCTCACAAACCTGTGCCCTGTACAGTGGGCCTGGACCCACTTAGGATTGCCCTCCCTCTCTCTAATAAGTTCTGAAAGTGTTAGGAAGAATCTGGGAGTCCTTCCCCTCCCCCTCCTTCTCCTCCTCCTGATGCAGTAGGTATCAGAAGACCTGAGCATGGGTGATGACCAGACCAGAGCATAACTGCCAGGGCTGCCCTTCATCTCTTGCCCATGGCCCAGCCATTGAGTTCAGAGGTCCTTCAAGTCAGGAAAGCCCAATGGCAGATGACCAGACAGCCAGGGAATGGAAGGGATGTGCCTCGGTCACATACAGCAAAAGGATACCAGAACTCGATAGTTCCCTGAATGACTGAGAAATGTTTTCTGTTTTCTGTTTCTCACAGTGAGGCTTTAGGAAATCTGCATTTGGGTTCTAAGCTGTCCTCTGCCTTGTCTCTGGGTTCCATGTTCAGCATCTACCCCTGGCACCAGGCCTAGACTTGCAGGCAGCACTGTCTGCCTTCTGTCCACTACCCAGAGCCCAGTACAGGCTTGAAGCCAGGCCAGGCCAGAGGCCAGGAGGGAGGAGAAGAGTAGGGTAGCCTCCATCAACCCCTTTCCTCTGTCCTGGCTCTGACTGCTGGGTCCAGAGCCATGGTGGCTTCCAGGGACCTTTGGACACAAAGAGAGGGAGAAGAGCAGGATAAATCAATCAAGTAAATAGGAAGGCACCATCCCCCTACAAGCACACATGCCCTGTTGCAGGAGAGGGGACAGAATCTCAACAAAAACCTGAGATGAATCCCAGCCTCCTGAAGTGACCCAGTGATCTCTGGGACTTTGGCTTCTACCTGGCCTTGGCAAGAGTCACTCACCCCTCTGGGCCTCAGCTTTGTCATCCATCAAACAAGAATGGGATGATGAGAACATAATATCCTTCAGATCTTCAAAGAGTTATTGATGGGGTTAAAGGTCAGTGTTGCCTAAGGATGCAAGTTCATCACTCTGGAGCATGCTGGCCTGGGTTGCACTCATGCCTCAGTTGTAGGTCACCCTTTCTTTTCTTCTGTTTCTTTCTTAGTAACACAGAGACAAACTGATGACTCCCCAGGACTGGCCTGAGGCTAAATAAGATAACCAAGAGAAAATGCATGGCCAAGGGCAGGGTGCTTATCAGAAACAGGATTAACTGTGTGGCAACTGGAAGTCCTGGAATCTAGGGACAGGAAGCTCAGAGACTTCTGCTCATCTCACAGAGTTCCATCTGCTGTCCTGGGAAGAACAAGCAGGGAGGTTTAGCCATAACTAAGGTGTCAGTCTACCCTGAGTCTAGGTTCTGCTCACCTCCTCTACTGTGGGAAATGGGTCTGAGACAGTATGGGAGGAGAGTTAGAGGTAAGATTAGACTTGGGAGCTAACCCATCAAGGCTCTAAGCTCTCTCTTGGGACTTAGCCATGTGACCATGTGCTGGCCCCTGGCATTCTCTGGTCCTCAGATCCAGCCTGCACCCCACTATAGGAGGATGGGATTACAAAGCAGATTGTACAAAGGTCTGTCTGGTACCTCAGCCTCTGTTCAGCAGGTGAAGCACTGGAACATGTATGTTGGAGAAAACATATGCCATCTTTCCCAGAAGCCCATAACACCACAGCTTTTTCAAATATTCTGCATGCTCAATTCTGATCTAGCCACAGGGGTCTGTTTGAGGCAGCTTGGTCCCTATACCTGCCAACTCCAGTCCTAGGCAAGGCTGGGTTTATTCATTAACCAAGCCAGATGGAGGAGGCAGCTCCGCCCTGTTGACAAAAGGTAGGAGAACCTACACCTCCCCCCATATACACACATACATACACACGCACACATACACACACACACACACACACACACACACACATTCCCTAGGGAGCCAGCCCAGTAGAGAAGCCATACTTCCCAGCCCCTGCATACTGCTGGTTTTAAGCCTTTCTCAGTCACAGTCCACCACCCTTCACTTTGTTCCTATGTCTGTCTTTCCCCAACATCACTGCCCTGGATGCTGTGGGAGAAGCCTGCATGTAGGCAGCAATATATTGGCACTATTAACTCCCCTTTCCTTCTTACCCCCCAGGCTCAGACCTAGGCTAGGCCCTGGAGAAGCTTCAGCCCAGGGTCTTTAAGCCTGGGCAGGGACTTGGAGGAAGGTGGTATACACAGAAACCCAGAGAAAGTCAGTTGGCCAGGGCATACAGAGACAGTCACAGAGGGCAAAGAGACAGCAGGAAGAGCAAGCCAATCATGTGGGGACAGGTGGATAAAACTGTAAATGATTAAAGCAAGGCAGAAAAGCATAGGGCCAGAGGGGAAAGGCCAGCACCTCAGGTTCTGGTGTGAGGCCAGGAGTCACAGACCCAGCCCTAAGCAGGAGGGAGCCTGTTAAGTCCAGTGCCCTGGCCTCTAAGAACAGGAATGCATCATGGCCTGACCCAGAGCAGCAGAAGGGTGCAAAGGAATGGCCTTTCAGGAACCCTCTAAAGGGAAGTTCACACCCTGAAATGTGGCACTCACAACAAAACCACATGTGTGGGGGACAGCTCCTGGGGCCCCTAGACCAGGATCTCTGCCCCCTCAAACCCTAACCCTGCCCTGTCATGACAGAGAGGAGAATCTCTGTCCTGTCATGACAGGAGGAGGGGAGATGGGGGGGGGCTGAGTATACAACTGCTTTCTGAACTGTTTTCCCATGGCGCTAAGTCCCTGCCTCCCCTAGCTCACTTCCCTGTGTGGCTCAGCGTAAGGGAGCCTTCAGGAGCTGCCAACCACAGTCCTAAAGGCCTGCTGGAGACTCAGAGCATGATGGAGCAACTGGGCAGGGACAGGGAAGACTGCAGGGATCAAGCAGGAAGGAATCTCATCCTTGGCACCCAAGAGTACAGAAAGTAGAGCAGAAAACCCATCTCAGGCTAGAGAACTGGGGGTGAAGGAGCAAAGGGGCCATTCTCCTGGCTAGTGAATCAAGCTGGGGGGATCCAAGTGAAAGCTATTCTGGAAGAGATATCCCTGAGAGAAACTATTCACCTAAGTGGGCCTGGCCACCACCCATCTTCCCAAACAGTCAGGCATGCCTGGGTTAGAGCGCGGTGAGCCAGGTAAGTCATATCCACAAGCCCTATCTAGGCATCAGTTAGCCCATATGTGTAATGGGGGACCATGCCTCTTCCTGGTTTATAGTAGGAGACTCTGGGCCCAGATGCACCTCTCTGTGGGCCCCTGGCCTGAGTCAGGACAAGAAGACTCCTGCAAGAGTGTTAGGGAGCAGTGGAGGCTGCAGGTACCATAGGACAACCCTACCTTGATCTTGTGCAGAGTCCGATCCATCTCCACAGCCTGCACCCACACAGCCACGCCGGCCTTGCTGTAGGTCAGGTTCCAGCCCACCTCCGCCTCACACTCTGACCGGAAGCTGCGAAAGTCCTGGTCATCAGGCACCTGGACACTTTCGCGGCCCAAGGCTGGCCGAGGCCCTTGGGATTCCGTTGAGGCAGCTGGCTTCTCCATAGGGAACGTGGGGAGGCCCGGGGCCCTGATCCTAGTCCGACTCTCCTGGGTCCTCCGCGGAGGCTCCAACAACGTCGACGCGGCTGCAGATGCTGACGCCACCTTCCTGGGACCTGCAAGACCGGTTTGGGAACCAGAGTCAGTATGCTGGGGGTGCGGGTGGGGCTACCCGGGGTCCCGGGCCAGCGGACAGCTCGAGAAGGGCAGGTGCTGGCCACGGGCGACTGTAGACCGTCACAGGACAGTCACTAGAGCCACCCTCCCACAAGGACTGACCTTACACTTCCCCGGAGCAGCAGCGGGGTTGCTGCGTAGCGGGTGCAGGAGCCCGCGGGAGCCGGGCAGGACCCTGGGGATCGCAGGTGCGGGTCTGGCACGGAGTCCCCGCGCAGTGCTGG